ATAAATTATTTAATTTTTTTTAATCAGTATTGACCACGAATAATTTATTATTTATTTAAAAAAATTTACCATATTTTTACTTAGTTTTTTTCTTTCTCTATTTCTTAAAACAAAAAATAAAACCATTGAAATAGCAAAGAGGATAAAAAAAGTAGTTTTGGAACTAAAGGGACCAATGGTGTTATGTATTCGGATACATAATTAATTTTCAACAAAACTAATGATATATATAAGTATATATAACTATCTAAGTTGTATGAAATATATTAAAACTAATAAATTGAAATAAAAACTATTACAAAATTGGTTTCCATAAATTTTACTTATTAATTTATGATGAAAGAGATTCTTGAATTACAAATTAAATTATAGGTTAGTTCTTCTCGTTTTGAAAAAAGAATGAATTAATTATTTTTATTTGAAAAATAAATTATTTAATTTTTTTAATTAGTGTTGACCACGAATAATTTATTTTTATTTAAAAAAATACCTTTTTCCATATTTTTTTCTTTCTCTATTTCTTAAAACAAAAAATAAAAATATTGAAATAACAAAAAGGACAAAAAAAAATAGTTTTTAAACCGAGAGGGGCTAATGGTGTTACACAAGCAAATACATAATTAATTTCTAATTATATATATATATATATATATATAAACAAAAAAAAATAAATAAAAATATCTAAGTTGTATGGAATATATTAAACTCAATAAATTAAAATAAAAATTGCTACAAAATTGGTTTCTATAAATTTTACTTCTTAATCCATGATAAAGAGATTCTTGAACAACAAATTAAATTATAAATTACTTCATCTCATTTTGAGAAATGAATTAATTAATTCTTTTGGTTTTGAAAATAAATTATTTAATTTTTTAATCAACGTTGATCATGAATAATTTATTTTTTATTCTATAAAATGTCTTCTTTTTCATATTTTTACTTCTTTTTTTATTATTTCTCTATTTTTAAAAAAAAAAACAAAAACATTGAAATAGGAAAAAGGGAAAAAAAATTAGTTTTTGAACCACATGGACTAATTAATTTGTTTCTTGAAGAAAGAGGCATAAATTTATAATCACTCTTGAATACAAGTGACTTTGGCTTCCACGTTGAAATAAAAAATTAAAAGAAGATAGGAGCATTAAACGGTCAATTTGAAAAAAAAGAAGAAATGACAAAAAAGGCCCAAAAATAAAATTAAAAAGAGAATTGGTCGGGGAAAAAATGAAGTTTCTCAAATCCATCGAGTGTCAAAAGAGAAATTAACGAAAAGTTAGGGACAAAAATCAAGCAACACAATGAATATTGTATCTAAGTTTAAAAAAAATAGTAAATATCTCAGTTCTTTTAATTTTTTCTTACTAATATATATTAACTTAAAAACAAAAGATAAAAATTTTATTTAATTTTATAATTTTTAATCAAATTTTGTATTTCATTCGTTCTTCTTTATGTTTTTCATAGATTTTGTTGTTAAAAAAAAACACAATTCGTTTTTTTTTTTCTATTCACTCATTTTTAAATAAAAACCTACAATAATATAAATATAAAATTTAATATAAAATTTTTAAAAATATCTTAATATTTTTTTGATAAGGCTATATCGAAGAAATATATTAGCATAATATAAAAATTCATATAAAAATTAACTAATGAATTTTTAAATTTTTTTTAAAAATATGCACATTTGATATATATACAAACACACACACAAAAACCATCAATGATATTAGGTATAAAAACATGTATTTGAATTATTAGATGGTTCCTTTAAACTATTATTTTATTTAAAATTAAATTTAAAATATTAAAAATAAATAATAGGAAATAGCTTTTGATATACTCGTAAATGCAAAATTAATTTTTAATAAAATCAATGATCTCAATACTTTTCCGTATACATCATTACCACCTCTCGTATAAATTAAAAAATACGTTTAAAAAAACTTAAGTAGTAAGAAATATATTAAAATTTAATAGAATATAATAAAAATAATTTACAATTTAATTCCAAAAAAATTGATTATATCAAGAATAAGTTAAAGAAACACGTGAATTTTATCATTTATTAAAAAAAAACATATTAAAAATTCATATAGAGAGAAAGATAAATCATATTTATTAACAAATAAAATTTTATAAAAAATTAAAAATTTAATTTGTTGAGAATTTTTATAATAAACGACAAATTTAAGAGATTAATTTTAATCAATAAAAATATAATCTGATATATATATATATGTTTATTCTAAAATTTAAAAACATAAGAAGCCAAAAACATCTTTTAAAAATATGAGGAACAAAAAATATATATTTGAAAAAATGTTAGAAAAAATGGATTAAGTTAAAAACATGAGATGTCAAAATATTTTTAAAAATGTGAGGATTTAAAAATATATTTTGAAAACATAAAGGGCCAAAAAGAAATGAAGTGTAAAATTTAAAAATGAATATCCAAAAAATTATAAAAATGTCATTGTAAAAATTACAAAAATATCATATAATGAATAGTGAATTAAGGTAAATGAACAGTAAATAAATAATTTTTTACTGTTCATTTGCCTCCCTTTCTTTTAGTTATATTGTAATAATTGTAATTGTAATATTCAGTTTTGAGAGAGAGAATGTCGAGATTTGCAACTTTTCCATCACCAAAATGGCTTAAAAGTCACTGGAAAAATAAGTGAACGACGCGTCTTCTGCCTGTTGTTATAGCAACGCATTATCCAAGTGTTTCCTTGATTTTTGTTTTTTTTGAAAAATAAAAAATTGGTTGAGGCCGGGCCTAGCTTTCCTGGCTTAAGCGTGCGCGAGGTTTTACTGACAGGCCCAGCACGCAAGCCTGCCCTCCTCCTTGTCTTTTTCTTTTGTTTTATTCTGGGAAATTATTCTTTTCTTTTTATTTTCCAATCATAAACACTATTTATTCTTCTTTCCAAAAAAAAAAAAAAAATTAAATTCATCATCTACAATTTTTATTTTTAATTCATATGAATTTATAGAGTGAATTTAAATTTTTAATTTGAAAATTTAATATGACGTTCAATAAAAAAAATAAAAAAACACATTTAAGTTTTATTTGTCTTGATAAATTTAAAATATATAAGGATGTGAGATTCCACGTATGGATTAATTTTTTTTTCAATGATAAATATGTATGGTCAATTTGTAATTTTTTTACGTAACACTTATTTCATAAAATATATTTGTGCAATTGTGCTCACGATTGAAGATTTCAAAATAAATAAATTTCAATGAATAATATGTATGGTCAATTTGTAATTTTTTTACGTAACACTTATTTCATAAAATATATTTGTGCAATTGTGCTCACGATTGAAGATTTCAAAATAAATAAATTTCAATGAATAATATTTAGGTATCCAACAACATACAATTAAATCATTGTTTTGTATATAAATCTGATAGATTTGAAATTTGTAATTTCAAAATTATTTAATTTACATTAAATATGACAATGGTATTCCATATTATATTTCTTCTTCTTTTTTTCTCAACATGTTATCTATATTCACTTAAGTGTTGGGTTGTTCTTTTTTTTTCATGACTAATAATTTTTATAGCGGGAGTGTATTGCAAGAGTTCAATTGGCCAATAAGAATTAAATCATTTGATTATCTAAAATATACATTTAATAGCATAAAAAATTTACTCCGTGATTGTATGTTACTTAATAGATGGGGATTGACTATTTTTAATTTGAAAAAACCTTTATTTCCTTAAATTTTCATGTTTAAATAAATTATATAAGGGTAAGGTTGGCCCCGTAGTTAAAGAGGGGTTTTTTTTTCTATATTAAAACCTTTGAGTCAATGCCTGGTAATTTATTAATTTTTTTTAAATATACCATTAGTTGTGTTTTTAAAATCATTCAAGAAGGATGAACATACACATACATATACACTCGTATGCACCATAAAAAGTGGATGACATGCACACTATCAATTAATACATGATAAAAAGTGGATTATATTCGAAATTAAATAAACTTACAATTTTAGTGTCTAACCTTTAATTTTTGTTTTATTTGAGTGTTTAATTTTTTATTTTACCTATTTAAGTGATTAACGTCTAATTATTTTTCTATTTGAATGCATTCCATCACTTGTAACTGTTAAATGTTTGTGTGATCGATATCAATAGACATATAGTCATTTAGTATTAGTATATAGTAAAAATGGATGTTTGAAATAATTGAGAACAAAAAAATACAAAATTAATTTTGTATTCACTACACATGCCTTCACTTATGATTTGAAATCAAGTAAAGAAGTATGGATCGAAATGTCGATGGATTATGTGTCAAGTCAAAGAAGTTTGAGAATGCCACAAAACCTTACATGAAGAAAATGATATTATTTTTTAGCAGCTTATTATTAAAATAGATGAGTGATAAAATATATATTCAAAGTAAGAAACTTTTGAGAACCTACTTAGATACTGAGCTGATGCAATATTAACATCATTTTAAAAAATATATATATTATTATTATTTTTCCTCAATGATTTGAGCGAAAATTTTTTTACATGTTAATTGATATCCACTATAGAAAAAAATTAAAATTATTTAATCTCAGATGACAAAATGTAATCAAATAGAAAAAACCAAATTAGAGGTTAACTATTCAAATAGATTAAATAAAATATTAGGCATTTAAATAATATAAAAATCAAAAGTTGGCATCCAAGTTGTAGTTTTATCTAATTTCGAGCTAAGTTTACATTTTTTTTTTTGTCATTACAAAATAATCACATAATCATGTGATGATTATTTAATATTAGCCACATCAATATTTAATAATTTCAAGTGATGAAATTCACTTAAATAAAAAAATTAATAAATTAATCACTTCCTGGATAAAATAAAATATTAAGCATTCAAACAAAATAAACGTTACATGCTGAAATTCGAGTTTTAAATAAAATATTAAGCATTCAAACAAATATATAAAAAACTGTGCAAACATCAATTGAACTTAAACGACAAATGCTGACAACTTCTCATCAACCAAAATTTTTACCTTAACATTCACAGCCCCACTAGACTTCTGCACATTCTTGGCAATCCTAAACAACTGATCTTCCTTCATCCTTTTAGTAGACGAAACCAGAACGACTTTTGTCCCACTCAACTCATCATATATCCTCTCAAACTCCATCAAAACATCACTCACTATCATCACCTTATTTCTCTCGGTCAACATCTTCACCAGACCTACCAAATGTCTGTTGAATTTACCTCTCTTTGCCGCTTCCTTCACCACCTGCCCCTTCTTTTTCTCACCCACAAATGGGCTACCCAAAACAGCTTGAATTTGCTCATTTTGAAGCAGCTCCAATAATCTTTTCACATCATTTTGGACTATGTCAAGGGAACTGTTGCATTGAGCTATGTCTAAGAGTGCTGCAGCATAGCCACTAACAGGGTTTCTGTGGACAGGAAGAGATGAGTTATGAGATGAGCTTTGAGAGATATTAGAAAAGAGTGGAGGATTAAGATTCTTAAAAGATAAGGTTTTAGATGGGGTTCTGTTAGAGATTGAAGAGTTGGGTTTGGTGGTGAGATTGGGAGGGAGTTGATGAGATTGAGATACGTGAGGAGTTTTGAAGTGGTACAATTCACGAGGTGTTGAGTGAAAGGGAGGGACTTTGAGGGTTGAAACAGAACTTGAGATGGCATCCATGGTGAAAGTGGAAAAATTGAATAGTGCTTTTGTGGATGCTTGAAATTTGGTTTTAGAATTTGGAAAGAGAGATGATGATAAGATTTCTGCCACGAGTAAAGTCGAAACCAATCCATCGAGAGCAACTAATGAATAATATAAAAGTTACTTTTTGGATATTATAAAATTTTTCAAAAAAAAATTGGGTGTTTTATTTCTCTAGCTCCAAAACATTAAAAAAAAAAAAAAAATCTTGGGAGTGGATTTGGGTACCAAATTAAAGATTGATTCATGTACTGGCTCGACAAGGTGAATATTTGAGACGCCCACCATCGCCAGCCTTGTTGGGTGGATCAAGCTTGTGTCTTTTAAATGTTACCAACCTTAGTGGGCTTCACCGCATTAATTTTGCCCTATAGTTTTTTTTTTTAATCAAGAAACAATACGATGTGCACCCAGACGTAGGGCAACAAGAACGAATAACAGCCGCAAGCCTACCACTTCTTTTCCGTTATTGGGCCTACAAATGGACAAAATAACATTCCATGGCCCATATATATTTTAAAATGACAAAAATGTACAAGGGATGTAGGCCTACAAGAATCTGGTCCACCATGACCGACAGATTGTACTACAAATATCCGGTCAGAGATCCTTTGGCCCATTAAAATTTGTTCCAACGTAAGGTGATTTGGACTTGAACTATCGTTTTTTTCCCGTGCAAAGCCGATTAATGTCAGTGGCCCATATTGTTGATGGTCCCAATATTCCTGCTTTTTGCCCTTTCAAATGTTAAATATTCTGGTTTATGATTAACTGTTTGCATTTTGTAGCATATCGAAGTTGGGTTACTTCATTTCATCATTAAAAACAAATGAAGCAAATGTTTTCCTTTTGGGTGGGGGACTGTGAAATCTATTTTCAAATTGAATTGAAAAATTGTTTGAATTTCGAAAGAAAAAAAGAAGAAGAATAGGAAAATTTTGTCTGGTATTTTATGAAACGAAATAAAAGTAAATTGTTAAACCCATCTGTTTCATCATTCACGATTTCATTTACCCAATAATTGAGTTTTATTTGTATTTAAAAAATGAAAAAAAGTCACGGTATCCATAAATACACAGAAAAAAAAGAAATTATCTTAATGTTTTTCTTTTAGAATTAGCATATTGTTCCTCAATTACATGCATGTTTTTTTGAATTATACATTGTTCGGATTTGTCATGCTTAGTATATTAGTCATGATAGGACTCGATATAAGTAGAGTTGTGGGTAGGATTAATGTCTTTGTTATATAAGCTTGATAGATTACGTGTCTTAGTTTATTTCCTTAAGCTGTAAGGCTATAAATAGCCACACCTTTGAGTATGTTATGTGTTTTAAATTCTTCATTGATCTCTACCTTTTCTCTTAAACATAACAATTGGTATCAAAGCAAGTTTAAGAAATATGTCAATAGAGAGCTCCTTCGTTCAACCGACGAGTCCCAAATTTGATGGGCACTATGATTATTGGGCTATGCTCATGGAGAACTTCTTACGATCAAAGGAGTTTTGAAGCTTGGTGGAGAATGGAATCTCTACAGACGAAAGAGTGACACTCCCGTAGGTACACGAAGGGGAGTATTGAAGAATAAAAGTTAATGGAGAAGACAAAGGAAACAACTGCTGTAGTTGAGAAAATTTTGAGATCAATGACTCCTAAATTTAACTATATTGTATGTTCTATTGAGGAATCAAACGACACGAAGCATAATGACTATTGACGAGTTATAGAGCGACTGTTGGTATATGAACAACGTATGAGCCCCTACATTGAGGAGGAACATGCTTTGAAGACGACTCATGGAAGTCATCTCATGGGAAGAGGTCGTAGCCGTGGAAGCCTTCGTGGAAGAGCGATGAGAAGAGGAAGCAAGGCTCACAGCAAAACCACGGTAGAATGCTACAACTATCACAAGCTTGGATATTTTCGGTGGGAATGCCCAAATAAGGAGAAAGAGAAAAACTATACGGAAGGCCAAGAAGAAATAGTCCGAATGGCGTATGTGGATGAGGATGTAGAAACTAGAGATGACATGTGGTTTCTTGACTCGGTTTACGGTAACCACATGTGTGGAAAGAGGATATTTCTCAAACTTTGATAAGATATACAAAGATTTTGTGAAAATGGGAAATAACTCAAAAATGAAGTGTTGGGAAAAGGCAATGTACGATTGAAGATGAATGGCACAATATAAATCATCACGAAGCATTCTATGTGCACGAGTTAAAGAACAACTCGCTAAGTATTGGGCAATTTCAAGAAAAAGGTCTTGCTATCTTGTTCTAGCAAGATACATGCAAAGTGTTTCATCCTGAAAGAGGCTTAATCATGAATACAAAAAGGGCCTCAAATCGAATGTATGTAATGCATGCATCATCATGCCTTTATGACATCCGAATGCTTCAACACAACCGAGTGAAGATGAAGTGCGGCTACGGCATTACGGTATGTACACTTGAGCCTCGAGGGATTAAGGATGCTCTAGGAGAAAAATATAATGACTAGCTTACCACATCTTCGGACCTCTTTGAAGTTATGCAAATATTGTCCGATAGGAAAACAAAGAAGACACTCATTCCCAAAGCAAAGCAAATGAAGAGCATCACACATCCTCCAATTAGTGCACTCGACATCCGTAGACCAATCAGTCCCATTTCCAACGATGAATAAGAAGAACCTCATTGCCTTCATTGATGATTTCGACAAAAAAACATGGGTATACTTTTTGATCGGAAAGTCGAAGCCTTAGACATATTCAAAAGATTCAAAACACATGTTGAGAATGAAACAAATGTGTTCATCAAAAGATTGTATATCGACGGAGGAGGAGAATTTAATTCATTAGAATTCATCGGCTTCGTGATGAAAACATAATACATAAGCAACTAACGACTACATATACACCTCGATAGAACGAGGTTGTCTGAAAGGAAAAATAAAACCATCATGAATATGGTTTGTAGCATACTCTTTAAAAAACAAGTTCCTAAGTCCTTCCGACTGAAGTCATCAACTGGATAGTATATGTGTTGAATCACGACCCTACCTTAGCGATAAATAATAAAACACTAGAAGAAGCTTAGAATGGAATCAAACCCTCGGTTGAGCACTTCGGAGTTTTTGGGTGCATCTCCCATGTCCACATCCCTAACAATACAAGGACTAAGTTGGATAATAAGAGCATGTGTTGCATTCTCACGGGAGTTAGTGGAGGAACCGAGGCATACGGACTCCATGATCCAACTATAAAAAAAATCATATTGAGTCGAGATATAGTCTTTGAAGGAGATAAAAGTTAGGACTAGAACAAAGAATCCAAACAGACCACTATATCAATATCCGAAATGAATGAACAAGAAGAAGAAATAACTATCATGATCATGCTGAAAACGAGTCTAAACGGGATCTTGATGCGGAGAAACATTCCATAAATGAGTCACGGACGAAAGGAGACTCATCCGACTCTATTCAAAGAAGGAACGGATAACCATCGGTTTGGATAAAGGACTATGACTCGGGAGAGGGACTTTCGATTCCGGAGAAGGTTCCTCCGAAGATGATCACAATGCCCATTTAGCCATGTTTGCAATTGAAGATCCTATCCACTTTGATGAAGCTCGTAAAAAGTGAGAAATGAAGAAAAGTTATGGATATAGAAATAGAAGCAATAAAACGAAATAGAACATGGGAGTTGACGGAATTACCTAAATGAGGAAGAAAGATTGGGGTAAAGTGGGTCTACAAAACTAAATTCAATGAGAAGGGAGACATGGGTAAGTATAAATCCAAGCTTGTTGTGAAGAGATATGCCCGAGTAATATGGTATTGATTATACCGAGGTTTTCGCACTAGTAACACGCATGGAAACAATTCGTCCGGTGATAGCACTTGCGACTCAAAAGGGATGGATCATCTATCAATTAGATGTAAAATCTATCTTTCTACATGGTGAGTTAAAAGAGAAAGTATTTATAGAGCATTCATGTGGCTACATTCAAAGAGGACATGAACAAAAAAGTGTATAAATTAAAGAAAGCACTCTATGGGCTCAAGCAAGAACCAAGAGCATGATACGGTACGTATAAAGAATTATTTTTTACGGAAGAGATTTGAAAAATGTGATTATGAGCATACATTATTCATCAAAATAAGAGGAGAAGGAAAATTACTAATAGTGAACTTGTATGCTGATGATCTTGTTTTTACTCGGAAATGATGCTTGTCGGAATTCAAATGTGCCATGAAACTTGAATTCGATATGATCGACTTAGAGAATATGAGATACTTTTTTAGACCGGAAGTATTACAAAGAACGGATAAAGTTTTCATCGGTCAAAGAAAGTATGCTTCACATGTGTTAATCAGGTTTGGTATGGACAAGAGTAACTTTGTCCATAATCCAACTGTCCAAGGCTTGAAGATAATGAAGGATGAAGGAGGCATTAAGGTGGACAAAACACACTACAAGCAGATTGTAGGAAGCCTCATGTACCTAACTACTACAAGGCCTGACTTGATATATTCAATAGGGCTTATTAGCAGATACATGGAGAATCCAACGAAAATTTATATACATGTGGTGAAAAGGACATTGAGATACTTAAAGGGGACAACTGAACTTGGGATTTTCTTTAGGAAAGGAGGAGATGGAAAGCTCACTACCTACACTGATAGTGATTATGCTGGGGATATGGAAGACAGGAAAAGCACCTCGAAATTATATGTTTTTATTGACCTCGGGAGTCTGTATCATGGTCATCAAAGAAGTAATCAGTGGTGAGCCTATCTACTACGGATGTAGAATTCATTGCTGCTGCAATGTGTGCATGTCAAGCAGTCTGGATAAGAAGAGTAATGGAGAAGCTGAATTAGGATCAAGAAAAGCCAATCGAATTCACTGTGACAGCAGTTTTGCAATCAAATTATCAAGGAATCCAATGATGCATGGATGAAGTAAGCATATTAATGTTCGTTTT